TCTCAAAAATAACAATAAAAAAAAAAGCATGATCAAAAGAAACTTGGTAGAGCAGGGCGGTGGTGGCATACACCTTTAATCCCAGTACTGGGGAGGCAGAGGCAGGCAGATCTCTGTGAGTTCGAGGCCAGCCTGGTCTACAGAGCAAGTTCCAGGACAGTCTCCAAAGCTACACGGAGAAACCCTGTCTAGAAAAAAAAAAACAAAAAAACAAAAAGAAAGAAAGAAAGAAACTTGGTAAGGAAAGGGTTTATTTGGTTTACACTTTCACATCACTGTCCACCCTCCAAGGAATTCAGGGCAGCAACTTGGAGGCAAGGAAGGACTGAAGCAGAAGCCATATAGGAATGATGCATAGTAGCTTGCTCCTCATGGCTTACTCAGCCTACTTTCTTATACCATCCAGGACCACCTGCCCAGGGTTAGCACTACCCACAGTGGGCTGGGCCCTACCACATCAATCGCCAATCAAGAAAATGCTCTACAGACTTGCCCGTAGGCCGATCGTATGGACCCATTTTCTCAATTGAGATGCCTTTTCCCAGACAACTCAATAGACTATGGTCAGAAAGACACTAATGCCCAAGCCCCAAAGTTAGCATCATTTCAACCATATTCTATTGATCAGTTAGTCACAGAACCTAAATTCAAGAATAAGGAATCCCTAATCAGACCTCACCTGTCAGTGGAGGTGGGTTAAAGAATCATGAGCTATATTTTAAAACTACTTCAGACAACCCTCTAAATATAAATTATTTACACTTTTCCTACTTGAGAGTTAATTGTTCCCTCACAGGACTCTTCATCAAAAGTCTCATCTCCTTACAACATGAGGCAACAGGTCCAGCATCTATCTCATCCTCTGAATGAGGTGCAGGTGCACGAGTCCTCTTATATGACATTTCTTAGCCACAGGACTTGGATGTTGTTCCTCTCCATCAGAAGACCCATGAACTAAAGAGTCACATAGCAAACATGTGGCTGTGGGCCAGGGTTAGGATGACTTTATAGTGTGAAGCAGTCACTAATTGCAGACATTCTGGAATTCATATGAGCACGTGAGCCAATTCCTTAGTTAGGTCCAGTGCTGCTTCCTAGACATTTTGTAGTTCTATTTTTCCTTTGCCGTGAGACACCTACCTAGTCTTCTCTTTTCTCCTTGCCTAAGAAAGGTTGGGAATACAAAGAGATTAAGAAGTGAAGGCGAGATGTGTGTGTGTGTGTGTGTGTATGTATATGTATATATGTGTGTATGTATATATTATGTATATGTCTGTTTTGCCTGCAAGTATGTATCTGTGTTTTACATGCGTATATGGTACCTATAGAGGCCAGAAGAGTGTGTCAGGTCCTCTGGAACTGTTAGACAGTTAGACACCTAGTCTTATTGCAACTTGATGTGCCATGTTTGGTTGATATTCCTGGGAGGCCTGTCCTTTTCTGAAGGGAAACAGTGGAGGAGTAAATCTGGGGCAGAGGGGAGGTAGGGCTGGGAGGAGAGGAGGAAGGGGAAACTGTGGTTGGAATGTAATATATGAGAGTAGAAAAAAAAAAAAGACATGGGGGGCAGAGGAACAGATGTTTTCCATTTTGTACTGTCTCTGAATCTTCTAAGTTCATGTCGGCAATCATTCTAACAAAATGACTATCTTTTTTTTTTTTTTACCTTTTTTTTTAAGATTTATTTATTTATTATGTACACAGAAGAGGGTGCCAGATCTCATTACAGATGGTTGTGAGCCACCATGTGGGTGCTGGGAATTGAACTCAGGACCTTTGGAAGAGCAATCGGTGCTCTTAACCTCTGAGCCATCTCTCCAGCCCCCAAAATGACTATCTTAACAGTTTGAGGGGTTTCTCTGAGTAGCATCAGGGTTTGCTTCCTCTGCAGCTACAGCTAAAAGCGCCCTGGAGATTCTTAATAAAGAAAAAGAGGTCATGAATTTGAGAGGGAAGGGAAGGAGGGGAACATGGGAGAGATTTGTGGAAGGGGGGGTTAATATTTTTAAAGAGGAAAAAAATTAATCTTGTTGTATAAAGAAAAAAAGTCTGCAAGGGTTTCCCTTAGCAAATTCCTATGGAAATCTTAGGTCTGAAAGAAATTCATAAAGCATATTCTTAAACATTCTTCTGATTCTTTTTTAGTTTTTTGAGAAGACAGGGTTTCACTATATAGCCCTGGCTGGCCTGGTACTCACGACATAGACCAGACTGGCCCCAGACTCAGAGATCCACCTGCCTCTGTTATGAATACTAGGATTTAAGATATGTGCTACCAACCCCCACCTTCTTTTTTAGTTCTCAATAAAGGATTTTATCTCTCATCTTAATGTTTTATCATAAGCAGCAAGAAGGCAGATAGCACTTCGATGGCTTTAAAAATCTTAGCTATTTCATTGAGCTCATCAAGTACACTTCCTGTTTTATGCTATTATGGGCAACAATCCTATCAAACTTCCAGTCCCTTCCTAGCACATGTGCCCCATCCTTCATCTTCAGTTATATTGTCTTCACTTTCCTAAACTCTTGGCGGAGAGCCTTCCATTAAAACTCTTAAAGGGGCTGGGAATGTAGCTCAGTGGTAGAGCACTTGCTGGATGAGGCTCTGGATTTGATCCCCAGCACTAAAGAAAAAAATAATCACTACCCCAGGACTTGAGTCCCAACTGGGACTTTGTTTGTGCTGCTTTCTGCATCCCGCCCCCTCCGTTCCAAAGTCAATGTCATGTGTTTGGCATTTGTTACTGAAGCGTCTTCTATCAGAATCTATTCTGATAAGCCTTTGTTATATGACAAACAACTACAAAACTTGATCATTTGAAACACTGAGGGCAGACTGTGAAGACAGCTCATGTATTGCATACAGTGCCAGATGGGGAGTGGAACTGACTAGGTTTGGGGATCCACTTTCCCACATGACTGGCATATTGGTTCTGCCTGTTTCTCCACATGAACCTCTCCACAAGATGATTTGTTTTCTTACACATAATAAATAGTTGCGATCCAAGAGTAAATACACCAAGAAACAAGAAGTAGAAGCTGCTGCTTTCTTAATCCTAGGCCCAGAAACTGGCACAGTGTCATGCCTACTGCTGTCTGTTGGTCAAGTGTGACAGAAAACAATGATAGGCATGTTGAAGACTCTCAGAGCCATGTTCTAAAACTGGCAGGCTTCTAAAGGTTGCAGGTTGCCCTTTGGTGTTTCACCATATGACTCATGTAAAATTCATTTTAAAAATCACCATTAGAAGCATCATATAAGACTTACATCCATGAGATGTACAAATCTTAGTTGCAAATATATTGTACACTCATATACAATTTGCTGAATTTTATTTATTTTTTGCATTTTTTGAGACAGGGTTTCTTTGTGTAGCCTTGGCTGTCGTGGAACTCACTATGTAGACCAGGCTGGCCTCGAATTCAGATCTACCTGCCTCTGCCTCCCAAGTGCTGGGATTAAAAGCATGTGCCACCACCACCCAGCCAATTTGCTGAATCTTAATGAATGTCAGCACCTGTGTAACTACTACATCCCCTGTGATCAAAACACAGGACACTTTTGTCATCCAGAAGTTCCATTAGGCTCCTTGCCATCAGTCTCTGTCTCAACTGTGATTGAAATCTTTTTATCATGAGTTAGATTTTGTAGATCTTGAATTTAATATAATTTAACCTTGCTGTCTGTATGTACTCTTGTATCTGGTTTCTTTCACTCAAAAAAAAATTTTTTTTGAAAGACACTATAGGTCAAGGTTTTCTTTCTGCCAAGTGGTATTCCATTAAATGAACATACCCTAGTTTGTGTGGTCATTCTCCTGCTGATGGACACTTGCGCTAATTTCAGTTTGAGATTATTGTAAATAAACTGCTATGAACATTTGTATTAAGTGTCTTGTCTCTGAGTTCCTCCATTTTTAGCGATTTCAGTACTAGGGCAACACGCCAAACATGAAAATCCTCCCTTTTTTTTTCTTTTTCTTTCATTTAGGTGGGGGGCATTGTTTTGTTTTGAGACAGGGTTCCTCTTGTATATCCATGACTGTCCTGGAACTCACTCTGTAGACCAGGCTGGCCTCAAACCCACAGAGATCCACCTACCGCTGCCTCCCTGAGTGCTGGGATTAAAGGCATGTGCCACCACTGCCTTTAATTTTTTTTTCATGTATATTTGTGTAGTATGTGTGTTTATGTGTGTGTGTGTGCACGTATAGAGGCCAATAGTCTTGGATCTCTTTCTACCTTGTTCACTGAGGCAGGGTCTCTCAGTTGAACTCAGAGCTCACCAACATGAGATAGTCAATGTAACTAACTAGCTCCAACAGTCTCCTGTCTCTGCTCTGCCTTGTAAGCGTTTGGAATATAGGTGGTCCACCATGCTTACCTAGTGTTTACATGGGTTCTTGTGGGCCTAATGCCAGTCCTCAAGCTTGTACAGCAAGCACTGGATCCACTGACCATCTCCATAGTCCCTGCTCCCTGTTCTTAAGAGACCTAAACTGATCTTCCTTTTCCTACATTGACCCTTATAGGCACCTTTATTCTGCCAATTAGGTGTCTGCAAGTCAGTCTCCTTCCTGCTTCAGGACACAGAGCTTCTTGGGGTCTGCTATGTCCGTGGCTACTTCTCCAGTCTGCTGTCTGGTTCCCACAATGCTATTGGCTGTTTCTTCACTTGTCATCTGACTCACCTTAGAGAGATCTAGGAAAGAACAGAGTTTACATTTTCTTTTCAGGGCCCAGAAAACAACACAAGTTCTGTGCCTTGATTTCCGTTCTGGGTTTTTCTCCTAATAGGCTGTGTCCCCAGAGACCTTGGGCTGGTGGCAACTAGGCATGGGATTTTCCAAGCCTCCCTCTATCACCCACTGTGTTTTGTGGTGTAGTTGTGGGGACTGCAGTGGAACCAGGTCCGGAGTTCAGCAGATGGAAGAGAACTGCACTCTGACTTCTCCCTGCCGGGCACACCGTAAGGTTCTTGGCTTCTTTGTTTCCTATAGTTTGTATCTACTTGAACAAGAGCGGCAGCACGGGCCCCCACTTGGATAAGAAGAAGATCCAACGACTTCCTGACCATTTCGGGCCAGCCCGTGCCTCTGTGGTGTTGCAGCAGGCTGTCCAGGCTTGCATTGACTGTGCTTATCACCAGAAAACTGTCTTCAGCTTCCTCAAACAGGGCCATGGCGGTGAGGTCATCTCAGGTAAACACTTTCAAGCTGGTTTGACTTCCTAGCCAGAGGGGCAGGCCTTCATTCTAATGAGACATCCTAATTCCAAGTTCATAGTTACCAATTCTGGAGAATGCAAAAGTATCCCATTCCTCAAGAGTTCTCACTTCCAGCTCCAGGCTCTTCTGAACCATGTGCCATATATGGTATGTGCCATACATCTCTGCCAAGAATAGCCAAACAAACTGCCTAACACAGCCTTTGAACAGTCCTCTCCTGTCCCCACAGAATATATGAGTGTGTGGCTTAAAACCATTCCAGAGGAAGGATGCATAGGGGCTATGTTGTTGCCACAAGAGAATTTCCCAAAATGGCTTCAGGGAACTTCTGACCTCCTCCTAGTCCTCTGCCTCCTTAGCTTCTGGGTTTCTAGGACCCATACAAGGGAGCTGAGCCCAGGACAGAAGACAATGAGCGTTTAACGGTGTGGTACTTTTTGCTGTAACTGAAAATACTTTCCTGCTGCGCCTTGTTTCTGTTTCACTTTTCTTAAGTCCAAAATCTTATTTTTGCCCACCAAGCCTACAGAGGCTTGTCCTGCAGCCTTCCAGTCTTTACAGCCTTCTCCCTTTCCTCCTTAGCAAGCTGTCGTGACTAGCTTCAGGAAACCAGCTGACAGGGAACACAAGTAGCCAAACAATTCTTTTAGCAAATACCTGTTGACCTTTTACTCTGGGTCGGAGGTTTCTGCCATACAGTGTCCAGGAAAAGGGAAAACAGAAGATGTCCGGCTCAGGTCTGCACTGGTGGAAAGGAAAATCTCAAGAGTCTGTGGAGGCAAACAGAAGCAGTAGGGAGCCCGGTCTAGGCAGTAACTGGCTGTGTGGAGAATGGGAACTGCTGATACAGTAAGTCAGTCCTTCTGAGGCCAGACCACTCTCTAGCCTCTCCCTTGCAGCAGTCTGCAGGGTCTGAGCCTTCCTTAGTGTCTGGAGTTGCCCTTGCCTCTACCTGCCTAGAGTTCTTCCTCTTCAAAACTTTTCTAAGAGTGATTTATCTCCCCAGATCTCCATTTTCTCACTTCCCTCAAAGACAATTACATGAGCCTTTTTGCTTTTTAAAAATTATGCCAACATTTTGATAGAACTAGATAGGACATAAAATAAAAACAAACATGAGACATTTCCAAATGTTGCCCAAAATCTAGTATCCTTGTATGGGTTGGAAATTGCTAACCTAAGTCCTTGCTACCAACGGCAGTATTCCCTTCTATACAGCTTACCTGTTCTTGGGCAGTTTACTTGTGAAAACAGCACCCTAGGTGAACACATTTCCTGAAGGAAGCCCAGCCAGGTGATGAAGCTGATAGCATTATGTTCATAGTTGTTTCACAGGTTGAGTGAAATCATTCCAGAGCCCTGAGGGTACAACAGACTTGGTCTGGCCACTCCCATGGTTGCACACCCTTGGGAGGTAGAAGCAAAAATCAAAGCCCTTGAGCAAGGGAGGGCAGCAGGAAGAAGACAGACAGACAAGCAGCCCGGGCACTGCCTCTGTGTAACTAGCCAGTCCCAAGACAAGCAGTGAGCTGGGCTTCTCTGGCCAGCTCCACACCGCACTGCACAACTGACTTGTTTCCTTTACCTAATTCCACAGCCGTGTTTGACCGGGAACAACACACCCTCAACCTCCCAGCAGTCAACAGCATCACCTATGTCCTCCGGTTCCTGGAGAAGCTCTGCCACAACCTTCGCAGTGACAATCTGTTTGGCAACCAGCCCTTTACACAGACTCACTTACCACTCACTGCCACGGAGTACAGCCACAGCCACGACAGGTACCTACCAGGTAGGAGCTGGGATGGGGCCTGGGCTGCAAGGGAACTGGGCAGCCAGTAGCATCTGCAAGGGGCCAGGGGCAGCCCTCATGCGGGCTTGCAAGCCTAGCACCCACTGTCCAGAGTTCTGGTTTTCTGCTCTTTACCCTTCCACATCCGGGTCATATCTAGGGCTTTGGTCTTTTGTCATCTTGACTCTTCAGGATTTTGTTGTCACTCTAGAATTTCTCATTCCTCTGGACCCCTGACTCTAGAAGTTGCCCTATGATTTCTCCACATATGTAGTGTGGAGCCCATGAAGTCCCAGCACATCTCCCAGGGTGAATCTGGCACCAAAGGCCTCAAAGAACTCTCCTTTGCCAGCACCAAGGTTTACTCTTAGGCTCGAGGTTGAGAAAGTTGCTCCATCTTGATTGGCTATCCGTTCTTTTCTTTGGCACATGGCCCTAACTCTTCTAGCATTGCCAGTCTAACAAGTCAGTGCAAGTTCCTGCTGTTTCCAACTAGGCTGGAAAATAACTTTTTTAGTTAACATACCAGACCCACAATGAGAAAGCGGATGCCACGTGGCTGGGTCGGTGACTAAGCACTTCCAAGAGAGTTTGAAGAGTGAGTGGAGCTCGGCATCTCTGCTCTGGAGGACAGGACGCAGAATCCAGGGAGGCAGGAAAGCTTGGTCCCAAACAGAGAGGTAGGTTGCTGTTAAAAGGGAGGAGTTGCTCTTTAAGAGAGACCTGGAGATGGTGTCCTGAGCAGAGAGGAGGTACCGACTGTTCTGTTTGCTGGGGGTGCAGGAGTCTGAAAGGTGCTCTGGGACCTTCTACATGAGTCTCATTCCCACACTGCCTTCCTTGTTGTCTTTTCATCAAACTCTTAATGGAATGACTCTGACTGAAGTATCACTTCTGGAGAATGTGCTCAGGGAAGTGAGGACACACCCAGTCTCCTCTTCTGACCCCTCTATACCTCTGCAACCAAGTGAGAATTGCTGATGTGATTGGGCTGAAAAGATACCTAAATTCCTCATATGCCAGCAAGAAACCAGACATCTGGTCTCTAAGCTGCACCATGCTCCTCAGCTGGGTCTCTTCCTCAGAGGGAACTTCTTAAACCACCTGCTCTAGACTGTTTTGTTCAACATCAGAACCTGTAAGAAGAGCCCTGAGTTATAATGTTGTACTGGATAGGATGAAGTCGGTACAAAGACAGTTCAATACTCTCAGTCATTGTCCTTCAGGAGCCCTGGGCTCTGTTTCCCTAATGAGAGGCCTAACTGGAAGTCCTAAAGAGAAGGTGTATGACAAGGAGTTTCATGTCAGTAGGGCAGCTGCTCAAAGAAACAGAAAGAAACTCAGAATCTTAAGTAGAGTGCTGCCCTTCAGGAACTAGGAAAGTACATTGGCAGCACATTCAGAGGCTGCTGGGGACATGCCCGTGATGGGCTTCCAGGCATGAAAGTGTTTGGAGATTGGCACATGGCGCAGCCTTTCCTGGGACTTGTGTTCTGGTTTGTATCTCTCTAACTCAGTGCCACATGAAAGAAGCAAACTCTGTCCAGCCTCTTCTTTCCTGCCTCACCAGCTAAAAGAAAAGACAAAGAACAGGGGTGTCATTTTCAGCTGTCAGCTGTGTCCTTTCTCTACCCCATTTCCAGACAGACCACACCACCTCTGATCCTCCTCTGCTCACCCAGCTCAGTTTCTCATGGAAGTTTTCAGCGTACTGTCTGCTTCATCCTGGCTTCCGTTTGCTTCTCAGAAGCCGTGTTTTAACTGTGCCCAGACAAGCCAGGGCCTTGTCTGGACTTCTGACTCCTCTCTGCTCTGTAGCTTGTCTTCCCTACCTGCCTGCTGCCTACTGACCCTTTGCTCTGCCTCTGACACCTCATCAGCACCTGTATTGTTCTGATTACTTACCTACTCTCTGCAGAAAACTCCATGAGTATCACAGCTTTCTTTTGCTTTTTCTTTGAACCTGTTTTTTGCCATTCCTGCCCATCTGCATAGTCACACACTGCTACTGATGTGGCATCCATGAGTCCCATCTGTGTTGACTGGTTGCTTACTGGAGCCCTTTCCCCACTTCCTGCCTTACCACCACACTTCCCTCTCGATGATCTTTGCCCAGCTGACCGTGTACTTCCAGTGTAACAGATAGGCATCAAGAGTCCACATCCCTTAAAGCTTCTTTACCTAAATTGAGACTATTGCTTTTTTCACTGCTTTATTTTGGAAACTTTCAAACCTATAGAAAAATTGCAAAAACGACAACAACAAAAGTAAAATGAGTCCTTCACCAAGAGTTACTTTTAGCTTTATGCAACATTTGCTCCGCTCTCTGTTTGCAGACATATTTGTATCTATATATTTAATATGTATGCATAGCTTTTATTTATTTAGTCCACAACAGCTAATTTTTTTTTTTAAAGATCACAAAACATAGACACATACCTGTAATCCCAGCCCTCAGGAATTTGAGGCAAGAGGTTCACAAGTTAAAGGGTAGCCTGGGCTACACAGTGAAACTCTGTCAGAAAGAGAAAGAAGAGGGGAAAGGAAGGAGAGTGGGCGAGAAGAAGGGTGGAAGGGCAGCAGGAAGGACAATATTTTTATGTTCAATAAATTTAATGTAAATAAAATAATTCTGGGCTACTATACCACCAGACCAGAATTTCCCAAGTTGTCTCAATATCATCCTTTATAGCTGTTTTTTTGAGTTTTTTTCTCTAATTTAAGATCAAATAAAAGATCATTTGATACATTTCATTGTCCTGACTCTTAAGCTTTCTTTATCTAGAGCTATCCTCTACCCTTTCTGTCTTCTCTGACTGCATGGCACAAGGAGCCAATCCAGGCATTTTGGCTTTAGGTCATCAAATTTAGGTCATTAAATTCTCACTGTTTGCCAGAATCTATACTGGATTTTGGGAGACAGAGCCAAGGCAGAGTGAAGCCCTACACTCTGAAAGCTCAGAGGGAAGAGGCATGTGGTTAAGAGCATGGAGCAGAGATGCTCCAGCCCAGCCACTTGTGATAAGCAAAGAATAAAGTGAAAGAAAGTGGATGAGAGGATTCCTGGACCAGGCAGCCTAAGAGCAGAGCCCCTTCTACAGGACAGCATGTGCTCTGAGTCAAGTACCAGGCTCATGGAAGCTACAGAATGGAGCTCCTGTGGTCTCCCTAAAAAATTGGTAATATGAGGCAGGAAATGTTTTCAGCTACTTGCTGTGGATATTTACATTAGCTGTAATTGAAATCTGCCTAGCATTAACTCCTAGATGTGCCGTTTTGAGTTTCCTGGCTATCACCTGCTCTTGTTCCAGGACTCATGCCATTGTTCCAGGACTCAAACTTGAGTTCTGTCTCTAGCATGATCATTCATCCATCTCCACTGCCCTTTGTCCTGGGCGTCAGCTTGCTCATCTGTTAAGATAGAGATGGAAAGTCTCTAACCATATGGGGTGAATGTAAATTAACTTCTCTGTTGTGATGCTGGAGAAGGCGATTGTGCCATTGTGCTGCTGCTCTGTGAATGTCAGGGGCAGAGGTGAGGCCCTTGTCCTGGGCTCACACCCTCAATAAGATGCGGCTCCTCTGTGGCTCTTATTGCAAAGCTGCCCTACAAGCATTCCTAGGGGAGGGTAGCAAGCGAGGGAGTGAGGAAACGGGATAGGGTGGGGAAGGAGTCTGGAGAAAAGCCACAGGTAACAAATACCCCAGGGCAGTCTGGGAAGACAGGAAGGACTCAGAGTTGTTCTTTTGGAGTGCACAGAGTAGAACATAGGAAGAATTTGTAAAAAGACAGATTCTAGCTTTAAAAGGAGGGCATTTTATCCATCAGACCTCTCAATAAAATGGTTGCCAAAAATCCCCTAAGAGAACAACCTTTCATTAGGGTCTTTATCAAGCAGAGGTCAGATAACCACTAAGCATAGAGAATATTATGCTTTCAAGGTTCCAAGCTTAGAGCCACGCTTTCCTTGCAGGGGGAACTAAGAAAACATGGAGCTAGAGCTGTAAGTGTTCTCACTCCAGCACAGAACATAGACACAAGTGTAGGCCTTGTACATGCTGATGGCATATCATTTTCGGGATTATATCCCATATCCTCTGCTGCTCTTTCTTCTAGAAGAGCTATCAAATTTCATGTAGCACTTAGGCTGCTGACAATGCAAATGGTACAAGAGATTGTCTCAGTCCTCATGAGACTTCTAGTCTTTAAATTTTTTAATTTATCCTTAAATTTTTACATATAATATATTTTTATCATATTCTTTCCCAACTTCTTCCAGATCCTCCCCACATCCCTACCCCCCCCAACTTCATACACCCATTCTCTCAAATAAATAAATAAATAAACAAACAAACAAATAAAGACAGGAAAAAAAACTAGTAAGACAAAAAGCACACACAAATGGGAGTCCGGGTCCACTTTGTGGTTTTGCGTTAGCCAACTACTCCTGGGCACGGGGCAGTGACACTCCATTGGAGAAAACTGATTTTTCCCTTTCCCAGAAAATATCAGTTGCAAATAGCTTCTTGTTTAGGGGTGAAACTCCCACTTCTCTGTGCTGGGATTTGAGACATCTGAGCTTAATGGGAAGGACAACAAAATACAGGTAGATTAAAAAGTAATAAAAGTTGTAAATATTACAAACAAAAGGAACAGTATTAACATAGCCTCTCAGAAGATTGTTCCTAGCAATTTGATGTTTAAGCTGGTTTGCAGAACAGTGTGCTTCAGTTAACACATCAGCCACCCAAAACTCTGATGGTCCTATGAGAAAATCTATGTGAGACTTTACAGTTGTTATTTCTGTGAGCTACAGGATTTTGAAAATGGAATCACTTTGTCACAAACAGAAGACTAGATGGCAGCTAGAAGGAAAGACATAAAAAAAACTTCATTATTATTAGCAAACATTATTTTTGCACAAAAGTAAGATTGTATGACTTACCAATGTTCAGAGTTTAAAGCAAGAGATCTTTTCACTGACGCTGGAATGAGACCCAGAGCTTCCCTATAAAGGACCCTGGGGCTCTATGGAGCAGTTGGAAAGGGTTGGAGTCTTGTCCAGGCCTTGCCCTACCAAAGGCAGCCAGGACCCCATTTAACAGCCTTACAAGCACTAGTGCCTCAGAGTGCAGCCATGATGCCTCATTTTCCTAGTATACCTCCTTAGTACAAGATCTAATGGCCATACCTAGTTGCAGACATCACCAGTCCAGGCTTTCAGATCCCTCAACTCAGAATCTAGGCCTAAGTGGCATCCTTAGTAGTGTGGAAAGGAAGAGACTCACTGGTCTGTAGCACTCTGGAGGTCCCCAGCACTGTTCCTACACTGCTGTTGGCATTTTCCTGACATTCATTAGCTCCTAGAAGCAGGCAGCATGCTCCTCAGCCGTGGCACATGGCTGGAAACATGAGCTGACTCTGCTGTACGACAGAGAGCTCAAGGTTGCTGCTGTAACTCTGAATGAAAACAAAACAACAGTTCCTCAGATTCATCTTCTCATTTGGTATTCTCCCTGTCTTTACACAAGGGAGCAGGTCCTCTGAGAAGGCAGACTTCTTGCCTTGTAAAAGGAAGGAGCCAGATGTAGAACCAGGTCTCCTAGTTTGGGGGTTGACTTTCTGCTCATGACATGCTTGCCACTATCATACCATCTCCCCTGGAAAGCAGGAATTGGAAACCTCAACTGCAGAAGGAATGTGGATATGTGATTTAGGAATCTCTGAACCCTCAAAGACTTCTCTTTTCAAAGAACTTCTAGGAAAATGCTTCCACAACTAACCTCCTGGAGAAGATGAATAGTTACCTAAAGAGAGATGTGACTTTGGGTCCATGCTTGCTAAACTAATTTAAGTAACAGAAATAGTCCTAAAATCCTAAGACATCTTACCACTGAGGGTCTCTTTTAGCCAGATAATGAATTTATATTTAATCATATAATTTCAAAGATAAACACTAAGGATAAGATCTTCTGATACTGAAGTCCCTTACACATGTATAGTCAATGCTGTGGCCAAGGCTAAGGAACTGATTTGGTTAAGGCAGAACCATCTATCTTGGTTAGGGTTTCTATTGCTGTGACAAAACACCATGACCAAAAAGCAAGTTGGGGAGGAAAGGGTTATTCGGCTTACACTTCCACATTGTAGTCCATCACTGGAGGAAGCCTGGACAGGAACTCAGACAGGGCAGGATCACAGAGGCAGGAACTGATGCAGAGGCCATGGAAAGGGGCTGCATACTGGCTTGTTCCACATGGCTTGCTCAGCCTGCTTTCTTATAGAACCCAGGACCACCAGACCAGGGATGGCCCCACCCACATTGGGCTGGACCCTCCCCCATTGATCAAATACCCAATACCAAAGCACACACAGTCCTGGTACTATCTATTCTACTCTCTACTTTTAGCCCCATCCTTTCTCCCTGGAAAGCTCTTCCTCTTCCCCAGCCAAGACATGGCCATTCTTCTCGTCTCATCTAGACAAGGTGTCACTCCCCAAGAAAGAGGGCATAGCTGGGATTAGGTGTCCCTTCCTGCAGTTTCATACTATCAAGAAAATGCCTTACAGCTGGATTTTATGAAGTCATTTTCTCAACTGAAGTTCTCTCCTTTCCAATTACTCTAGCTTGTGTCAAGTTGACAGAGACTAGCCAGCATGCCATCCTAAGACGGTCTCAACTTTAGGTTCCATGATGTGGTGATGTAGTAGAACCATGGTGTGGGTTCTACTACCTGATATTGGCCATAGAGGTGTAGAACTGGCATCAGATTCCCTTCCCAAAGGCTTTCAGATGTTCACAAATGAAGGCCTTTGGAAGGCTTTCCTGTAGTATGGATGAACTTTTTTTTTTTTTTTTTTTTTTTTGGTTTTTCAAGACAGGGTTTCTCTGTGTAGTTTTGGTACCTGTCCTGGATCTCTCTCTCTGTAGACCAGGCTGGCCTCAAACTCACAGAAATCTACCTGGTTGTGCCTGAGTGCTGGGATTAAAGGCATGCGCCACCAACACCCAGCGGATGAACTTCTAGGTTTCCCACAGTGTAGTGAGAAGCACTCTGCTGAGTGACAGAGTCAAGTTCTAACCTTGATCCTGGTCCCTGTGCCTGAGCTCCCCCAGCTTCCTTGGAATGCTTCTGTAGAACAAGGTCAATACAGATGACTGAGGCACTGAAGGAGTAGGCTCTCTGCAGACAGGCCTTTAACCAGGTGTCATGGAGTAGTTCTGAGATGTCCTGCTGATAGATCAGTATCTGCTTCTAAAGAATCCTCATGTGAGGCCTGGGGAGACAGCTCAGTAATTTAGAGCACTTGCTCTGAAATTGTGAGGATTTGAGTTTGAATCTTTGGTACTCACATAAAAGCTGAGCATGGCTGTATGTGCCTATTGCTCCAACATTGTGAGGGCAAGTATGGGCAGATCTTGGGATCTCACTAGCCATTCATACTAGCCAAAACAGTGACTTTTGGATTCAGTGACAGACCCTGTCTCAGGGAATTAGTAGGAACTGAGAGAGGAAGACACCTAGTATCTATCCTCTGCCCTCCGCATGTGTGTGCATAGGCACATACAGAACGCTCCTCTGAGCATGTGCATCCCTTCCCACTGCCCCGACCCTCTTTCTAGCATCTTATGACTGATGAATTGTCTTCCACCTAAAGTAGCTCTAGTTTTTTTTTTAAGTTGTCCTTATACGGAAAAGCCTACTACTATCCCAGGCCAAGAGGAACAGTCTAGAGAAACCAGAGTCTAGAGAGGAATCCAAGTCTTGAGCCAGGAGCCATGACTGATACACAGACATCCTGAATCCCTGCAGGGCTTTATGTCTTGCTGCCTCTTGTCCCACTCAGGCAGGTACCTGGAGCCAGCAGCACTCTACCAGTCCTTCCTTTAATCCTGGTTTTATTATTTTCCAGGTGAAACTTCTGTCCTGGGGAATAGCCTGGCCCGGTCCTTGGAGACACACTCAGACCTGATGGACTCTGCCTTGAAGCCTGCCGACCTTGTCAGCCCCTCCCCAAACCTTCGAACTCCTGGCTGTCGGCCCTTGCTTCCCTCCTGTGGCCTCCCATTGAGCCCTGCCTCCTCAGCCATGCTCAGGCTCTGCTCCAGGGGTAAGCTGATCAGGGTTCTGTGGCCCTCAATACTCCTTACCCTCCTCCTTCCCTTGTCCCCGTTGCATGGTGTTGGGACTGGTGCTGTGCTCAGTGTTGTGCCTTGCCCAACCATCTGGCATGTAGTTGGTGTTCTGGGCTTGGTTTGAAACAGCAAACAAACAAACAAAAAACATAAATTGGGAGCCAAAGACCTAGAACTAAAAGGGACAGGCAAGGATTTGTTCTTCCAGCCTTTAGCCATTTATTTGAATACCATTTTGTATTTTGTATGAGGCGAATATAAATTACCTTTTAAAAATGTCGTATACAGAAGACAAACTTTTTAAAGATACTTATAAAACAATAAAGATACACAATTGATAGTATAAAATTGCAGGAAGGGACACCTAATTATAACATGAATTTCTAAATGGTCTTATAACAAAAAAATAAAATAAAAACAGTGCTAGATATTAGGGTAAATGCTAAAAGAGCAGAGAGACAAAGGAACAAGCCACTGCCACCTCTCACCTCCCAATTCCTGGAATCCTCTATTTGAATGTCTCTGAGTTCTCAGCCCTTTGAAAGGGGTCATCTCAGCCATAAGGGCTTCCTGAGTCAAAAAGCCTCTAGTTCCTGTCTCCTCACGCCTTATAAACCTCTCTCTGCCCAGCCATCACTTCATGGGATTAAAAGTGTGTGTGCTTCCCAAGCAAAGGCATGAGATCTCAAGTGCTGGGATTAAAGACATGTGATTCCCAAATACTGGGATTAAAGGTGCGTGCCACCACTGCCTGGCTGTTTCTCTCCTAGACTGAGTCAGTCTCATATAGTCTAGGGTGGCTTTGAACTCACAGAGATCCAAATGGCTCTCTGCCTCCTGAGTGCTAGGATTAAATATGTGTACCACCACCACCTGGTCTCTATGTTTAATCTAGTGGCTTGTTCTGTCCTCTGATCTTCAAACAAATTTTATTAGGGTACACAGTATATCACCACACCTAATTCCACCTATCCCTTGTTCAAGGTCCTCTTCCTTGGAGAGCGACACCTTGTCTAGATGAGATGAGATGAATGACCATGTCTTGGGTGGGGAAGAGGAATAGCTTTCCAGGAAGAAGGGATGGGGCTAAAGGTAGAGCGTAAGATGGATAGTACCAGGACTGTGTGTACTTTGGTATTCCTGAAACATAATGTCATGTTGTGGCTTCTCAGAGAAAGCCTAGAAAGATCAGGGCTTATATTATTGAACATTTCTAAACTAAGGAGTTTGGAGTTGATCATTCTGGCAGAGTTAAGCCACAAGTGGCATCCAATCAGAAGCAAGGCACAAACAGAACTCTGAGTACCATTGAGTGCTGGATTGAAAGACCAGTTAGGAGGTTTGTGGGGCGTTTACCCAACCACCCCCACAGTTCCCCAGAGTTTTCTTGAGTGCGAGCAGCAGGAAATATTAGATAGAAGGATTTATTGCGGAGAATATCGCGGAGATAAACAGATAGAAAATAAAGGATAGCCCCGAGAGGGCCTGGAACCTATTCCAACGGGCCCCGACTGTCTCTGCTCCAGGGTTTTTATAGAGACGCCAAGGGGTGGAGCAAAAGACCTCCTCCCCCAGCACAGCCAAGTGCAGACCATCCCAGACACCTGCACTCAGGCCCGTGGTCCTAATCATCCTCTATGCGGACATGCTGGGTAAAGCCACGAGGAACCCGAGAACAGGCTCCCACAGGTCCCCCTTTCTTAATATATAAAAAAATATTAATGGCTTACAGCAATCTCCATAGCTGTTACACCTCCCAATATGGGAGTAGAGGATGATAAAGATGGCATTTCTCTTTTGAATTAGGTCCAAGGTGACTACAGCAGTCTTAGCTGCCTCAAGCCCTTTCTAAGCCAAAAAACTCTTAAGGCGACTACAAACTTAAAGAATCCCTTAGCTTCATCATTACCATTAACAAGTTAACATAAATATTGCTATACATAGCCACAATTCTCTCAATATTACAACTTAAAGCAAACTCTTAACAGAACCATTTGAATTAGCATACATGGTGCTATATATAGTTAACAATTTTCTCCGTCTTACAACTTTAATTCAATCATTTGAATTTTCTTGCTAACAGAACACAGGAAAAACTTCGATGTATTCCCATCAAACTTAAATATTTCCTTAACTCCACAAAACCAGGGTGCATTAATATCAATAGGGTAAACATAATTTCTGAAAACATAATTCAACCTCATAACTCCTCCTTTTCTTTATAATTTTTTAAACAAAATCTCAAACATAGTTAGAAGACCCAAACTTTTCCATTTAAACAGTTCCATCTGTAACACAAAACCAGTTCTGTACGTTAATTCCATTTTTACATAAACAGTTCCAATTTTAATCCAATTCCAGAAAATAGTTCCCAGGTCATTACTATAAGTAAACTCAAAATTGTCCCATTGCAATGAAATCTCTATTGTTCATTTCATTTCTTAAGTCCCAACATTCAAATGATAAATTTTGGTACTAGCCTTCCAAATATGAAGAAATCCATAACCAAAATCTTTCTGTAGTTTTATCTCATTTTAAGTTCAAAAAGTTCAAAAAAGTAAATTCTGGTACCAGGCTTTCCCTTCCAAATATGAAGAGACATTTTACAACCAAAACTTTTTGCAGATAACAATTTTTGTTCAAACAAGCGTCTCTGAACTTATTCTTAAGCCAGAGACCTTTTTAGGTACAGTAGTATTCTAAACCGCACCGTTTTTGATATTAGCTCAGGTTTTTCTGTGTTGCGTTGATTTTCCACAGATTTCAGCTGTGGATGCCTTCTTGCGCTGGTTCTGGCGTCTGCCATTCTTAGCTTCTTAGCAGTTTCTGGAACTTTTGAAAAGATTCAGACTGCCTGCTTTGCAGTCTACTGTGACACTACCTTCTGTGTCTCAGGTTCTTTCAACCATATACATTAAGAATAGACTCACTTATCATTTACCCTTTACAAACTCACATAACATTTTTTGCCTTGCAAAGCATTTAGACTCACATTCAACATTTACATTTTACAAACTCATAACATTGACATCTACTTATTTATACTCCTTAAGGAAACTATAGAACTACTTTAGCAAATATATTTCTTATTACTTCTTATATACTTATCTTATTTCTTATTTAAACTTACATTTACAACTAGCGTCTTACAAGCTTATTACTACATGTCTTAAGACTACTTAGATATTTCTTGCAAACTTATATTCTTAAAGGAACTCTATAGATCAATTTTACAAACTTATATAGGGCTACCATTAGCATATATTTAACTTAGCAAATACCTAAAGATTTCTTAACACAGATCTAACGAGAATTTTTATAAACTCACATATCTTATTTTCATCTTTTTCCATTTCTTACTCTTAATTATTATCACTATCTCTATTAGAAAGATTCTCTTAACTAGACAGGAAGTATGTACATCATTTCTAAAGTTTAGAATTTATAGTCAGCTTTGCTATAAAGCACTGGGATTTAGTGAGTGTTGTTATAGAATTGTGATAGTTGTTGCTAGGGGACTGTAACATCTTCGGGACGAAGCCACACTCCAAAGTTGCCAGTTCTCTCAGCCGTTCCGGACCGGCAGAGATGCACTGTCAGCGGCAGACGGTTTTTAACTAGAGGCTGTTCCTTCACCCAAATTCATAATAGCTCCCTTAAGTACTTCAATTCAGACAAACGTTTCTATTACAGCAATACTTTTGGTTTGCTCTACCGAAAAACTTCACTTCATGCTGAGGGTGAAATTACCGTATTTAGCTGCTGTAAAACTCTTCGCCAAATACTGCACAGCTATTAGGTGATATAAAGTATTTTTCTAAAGGAGCTAGTAAAGCCACAAGTGGCAAAACTCCGAACTCTGTTTCCTCACTGTTTGCATTAACCAGTGACAAAACCTCAGAAACACTGATCAAGCCACTTTCCTTCTGGTTTCTTTATAGAAACGTCATTGGAGCTGACCTTTCTTAGTTCCACGCTCCTTACCAGAAGCTCCGGTAAACACCGAGCTTCATTCTCCTCTTGTGAAAGAGCACAAACACATCCTCAATTCCATATTAACACAGGATCGGGACCCTTCCATAATCCCAAGCAGGGATCTTTCCATTTCTCATTACCCTCAGCTAAAGGACCAGGAAGATTGGAGTGAGCTCTAATATGGCCCACAAAGCATGGCAGCTTTCTTTTGTGGAATAGCATCTTGAATTTATTGAAACATTTTGACTTGGTTGTTGTTAGTTCCAATATTTTCACCAAAACTGTTACTATTCAAAGGAGTCAAGAACATAGATGTTCTTTCATGAAACATATCCTTCATTAGCTTACTCTGAGAAAAAGCATTTTCAGGATTTAGCATTTTCATTTTATTAGCTTTAACTCCTGATGTTATTATTAGCAGCTGTAATATTTAGCATTGATTTCTTATAAGGAACTTTCAGGTGAAGCAACTTTTGTAAGACAGCTAGATTTTCTGAAGTTTGTTTCCCATCTATAAAGCAGTCATTTCTTTTTGAATGCCTGTTTCTTATCTCCTTATTAGATTTACAAAGGAGTCACTCATTGCAGGCTGTTCATTCAAGGCAAAGAACTTCTTAAATTTCAACATGTTTCTTTATATCTAAGACAACGTTCAGTGTATAAACTGCTTTCCCTTGTTTTAAGGATTTTAAAGTGGCTTGTTTGCTCTTAAGTTAGCTTTTTGTCTTCCAACTACCATAAAAATTTTGCACAGCTATTCGGGTAAATAAGGCATTTTACCAATGGAGCCCCAAACCGTGAAGCACCTAGTTCCATATCCTTTCAATTTTTCCAATGGAACTGACACTTAAACTCTTAGATGATTTTCCTCCTTATTCTTTTAATGGCTGTATTTTAAGTTTACCATGAACGTATTTTCGAGCTGACAAGTGTTTCAGGGCAGTGTCGCCATATTTAGCGGAAAAACTACCTTTCCCAGAATGCATTTCCCTTATATCAGTCCATAATATTATCAGTCCCTTAAATCAGTCCTTTATATCATTTCCCCTCAGTCATTTCCCCATAGTTCTTTTCGGGTCTGAGAGTCAACTGGTTTTTACCAGACTTGCTTACAAATTTTTGCCCGGGAGGTTTGAACAAAGTTTTTTGCTTTTGCAACGAGAGATTTGGACAAGCATTTTACATTTTCAATTATGGGACATTGGGAGATTCCTATTCTCTCCTCAACTGGCTTTAACAGGTGTCTCTCCTTCATTTGACACTGGCCCCCAAATCAGAACCGCACCTGCCTCATTAGCGCGCACTGAGGCTGGCATTTCTGATAGCAACTTTCCTTGGGGCTTGTGCTTGTCTTAGCCAGTCAGTGAAAAACATTCACAACAGCTTTTCCATAGCTCCTTCAGAGATTTTCTCCCACTGATCTGTCTCATTTTGCTTGTTCCTTCTTTCCCCAGATGCAGAGCTTCAGGTATCTGTCTGCGGCTCTGTTCCTCTGCTAGCTGCCTTTGGAAGTAGGGGCTTTTTTCTTCCCCCGAATCTGCCTCAAATTCTAGCAGCTTTTCACAGGTCATGTATTTTCTGGGGAGGAATATGTCCCTTCTGTTTCTTCGGAGTCTTTTTCCCAGACAGTTCCCAGTGTGGTCTCAGTTTATCCCCTCTACCCCAGAAACAGTTTCCGACACTACAGTGGCGGCTTTCCCTGCTCCTGAAGGTAGGGGCTTTTTGTCCGTTTCTGTTTTTGGGGTCTGTGTGGTTTGCATACAGACTGAAAATCTAACAAGGGAGGTTTTTTGCCATTTCTAAACTCCCATTAGGACAGGTGTTTTGCCTCATCAGGCCTTCACCTGGCCCAGTCCCCCAGTGGGTTGCATTTGCTTGTCTGGGTGCTCAAGGACAGAGCTTATGCCAGAGGCAATCACCCCTTAGGGCTACACTCCCCCTCATCTCACGGAGTCAGTTGAAACAAAGCTTTTCTCAAAGAGGTGCTTTCTCTGACAGAAAAGCAAGCTTTACTCCTGGATAGTTCTGTTCTGCCCTGGCTGGGCTCTTTCCCCAGACAGCGTTCTGACTTAGCAGCACAACTGCTTCAGACACAGTTCAGCTTTACTGTTTTCCCAGAAAGGTCCTTACTCTGATAGGAAAGCTTTTTCTCAGATTTCTTTTTGCAGCTGTGGACCTATCAACTTGTAGGAAAGCAGGCAACTGTGCTGTTCCCATTGGCTTTAGCTCTGGTCGTTCATTAGCAGTTTTCCCCTGGGTCCTGCACCTTCCTGCCTCAGCTCTGTGCTCCAGGAAGTTTGCAACTGCAAGAACCCTAGTATCCCCGAAATGCACCCCAACTCAGAGACGCTGGCCAGTCGCCTCTGGGTTTTTGGTCAGAAGCGAGGATACAATGCTTCAGGGGATCTTTGCATTAGGACGATTAGGAGCACCTTTTCTTTCTGAAATGCTCACTCAAACAAAACCCTTGATGCCTCAGCTCGGCTATAACTGAAAAGCTTGGCATTTTTGCTTTTCCCAGTAAAGTTTCCTGCCCTTTTGGGCTCTCTGTAGCTCTTTACCCACACTCTCCCAAGCGTTTCCCTCAGGGTACTCTGACCCACTGTCTTTTACCAGCTTGAAGAGACAGAGCTTAGAAGAGAGGTTTTTAGGAACTTGTCCCTGCCTCCTGCATTGCAGGGAGGATTTTTAAAGCTTGAAAGAGAACTTAGGTTTTGCAGTCTTAAGAGGTTTGTTGTTTTCCCTTAGAGCTAATCACAGGTGGTCCCCATACTAATATCTTCAGGTGATTCTAATTTTTGTCCTTCTGAGAAAGTTAAAGGCTTTAGTTTTTAAGTTTAAGAGAGCTTTTAGTTTAAGATTAAGGCTTTTTGGAGAGATTTTCCCCCAAATTTTCCAAGAAAAGCTTTTAGTTTAAGAGAAAGATTTTTTTCCCCCAAGAGAAAGACCAACTTTTCCCAAAACTCCCCAACTTTAAACTTTGGCTTTTTACACCCCCATTTTTGCCTCAGGGAGAAATCACTTTCTCCTGCCGCTTGGACTTAGCATTTCAGCTGTCCCCAGGTCAAAAGCTTCCATAGGAAACTTTTTCTTCCCCATAAGCTCAAAGAGCTTTTTTACTACCCAAAAAGCCCAAAGAAAGATTTTTTTCCCAGTTTGCATTTATAGCCCCCAAAGTTAGAAAATTGAAGAGTTTTTCTGTCTAGCTGCCTTACTTTTTTCCTACACAATCTTACACTTCTAAGTTTTTCCTACACTATTTTACTACCCTGTGTTTTATACTTATTTTTCACAGATAGAAACTGAGAAAGGGATAGAAGATAGAAAATTTTTTTTTTTTTTTTTTTTTGGTTTTTCGAGACAGGGTTTCTCTGTGTAGCTTTGCGCCTTTCCTGGGACTCACTTGGTAGCCCAGGCTGGCCTCGAACTCACAGAGATCCGCCTGGCTCTGCCTCCCGAGTGCTGGGATTAAAGGCGTGCGCCACCACCGCCCGGCAGAAGATAGAAAATTTTGACAGAAGAGAATTTCGCTGCAGCATCGGACATCCTTCCAGTCCACTTTCCTTTTCTCTCGAGGATAAAACCCCTGCCTCTCAATAATATATATATAAAAAATATATATTTTCCATAACACCAGCATGCCTTATCCACTGGCAGGGCTGACTCAGCACTTTCGCCAAAAACTCTGTAATAAAACTATTATTTCCCTTTATCTTTAGTCCCTATTACTTTGTCTTTAGTCCCTGTTCATTTGTCTTTAGTCCCCTTTTTTTTGTCCCCCTTTTTTTTTCTTTAGTCCCTTTTTTTTCTTTTTTCTTTAGTCCCTGTTCATGGCGCCATTCTGTGGGGCGTTTACCCAACCACCCCCACAGTTCCCCAGAGTTTTCTTGAGTGTGAGCAGCAGGAAATATTAGATAGAAGGATTTATTGCGGAGAATATCGCGAAGATAAACAGATAGAAAATAAAGGATAGCCTCGAGAGGGCCTGGAACCTATTCCAACGGGCCCTGACTGTCTCTGCTCCAGGGTTTTTATAGAGACGCCAAGGGGTGGAGCAAAAGACCTCCTCCCCCAGCACAGCCAAGTGCAGACCATCTCAGACACCTGCACTTAGGCCCGTAGTCTGATCATCCTCTATGCGGACATGCTGGGTAAAGCCACGAGGAACCCGAGAACAGGCTCCCACAGAGGTTAAAAGAATGAGCCAGACCAGCAGTGAGAAAGGCCTGAAAATTAGAGCAATGTAGATGTGAAATGACTCACTAGGTAAATTTAGAAAGATTTGAAGATTGCAAGGAAGGAGGAAGTGGAGACTGTCTCCCAGGTGTGCCATTCATTAAGAAAGATCTAGAAATGGAGGAGAGGGGGTGCCATGAGTCATCTTAGAGATACACAAGAGACAGCAGTTATTGCAAGTCAGATTCATGGGAAAAGTACAGAGCTGAAGTATAGTATTTAGTAGTCATCAGTATATTGAAACTTTAAAGTGATTGAGTTCCCAGAAATAAAGGTAGGATGAAAAGAACAGCTTTCCAAAGATGGATTCCTGGTAGGCCAAGTTCGAAAGATGGAAGCAGGAACAGGTGTTTACACAGGAGCAAATGCCTTCAGTGTGAGGAGGAAGGGAAGTTGATCGGATGCTGGCTGGACAATCCAAGAGTATTCAAGTAGCACCAGGACCAAGGTATACCTGCAGGATTCAATAATTGGTAGGTAGAATCTGGTGATCTTATCAAGAGACCTGGGGAAAGCAGATTGCCATGAGTTGAGGAAATATCAAGGGAGAATTTGCTCAGGAATCCATCTTTGGAAAGCTGCTTTTTTCATCCTGCAGACTAGACCAGTCACATGAAGATGAGAGACAGTGGATCAAGGAAGAATGTTTACAGGAAACCTCGGGGCCAGCTCTGGATGGAGACTAGTTGGCAAGAGCTCTGGTTTTCTTTTGTTCCTCAAAGTCTCCTGTATGAGGTGAGACAGTTGGGGCATCAAGGCTTTCTGGTGAGCTAGTAAGACAAGAGCCAGGAGAGAGCACAGCACCGGACAGTAGGATTTCGTGTAAAGAACTCCGTAGAGCTGGAGGAAGAGCAGTGAGGATCATCGACTGCTAAGCATTCCAACATACTAGCTCTGGGGAGAAGTCTCAAGAGAGCTGGAGAGACGAGCAGTTGGTGCCAGAGAAGAGCGTGCTTACAGTTCTGAGGCAGTTGGTTTCAAATGCTGATCAGCACAGACAGTGGCCTTAGCAGTGGTGTCTGGAAGAGAGGAGAGCTGGGAGTCCCCGGCACTGTGATGGGTGAATGGACAGCAGCAGGAACTGGGGTGGAGCCAAAAGTCTTCAATTTAATAAGGGATTTATTGACAAATGATAGTGGGCAGAGAGAGCAGGTGGTTGGGTATAGCTTTAGCCTCCGAAACATGAGTTTCCTAGAAGGATGGTCTAGAAACGCCAACCGGAAGCCAGGAGGAGACTATCCTCAAACTCTAGCTTGGCCTTCCCCAGCCCAGGGTATGTGAAGTGTAGAAAATACAAAGATTCCAATAACAAGAAGTGAAAGATGACTGTGAGGAGAGCTTCCATAAAGACTGAGACAGAGAAAGAAGGCTGTGTTCTACCCCAGCCCTGGAAAGAGGCTAAATTCAGTAGGAAGCTGTCCAGTGGAAGTGGAGCTGAGATGTGGCTCCCTCGATTTCCTCGCCTTGAGAATTGAGTGAGTTGTCTCACTCAGGTCTCCCATATGCAAAGTCTTCCTCACAAAGGATAGAGATGCTCATCTCAACCTGGTCTTTCCACAGGAGTGCTGAAGGGGACAAAGGAAAGAAGAGACATGGAGTCGTTTTGGAAACCAAGTCACTCCCCAGGTATGTGGGGAGTTACTGTGATTCCCATCTCGGCCAAGGCATGGTCTGGTTCTGGTAAGGATGCATTGGCATGGGCTGCCTCTCCTACTGGCTCTGTGGTCTCAGCTCTCCTCTTTAAACACATCGTGAGTCTCGGGGCCAGGTCACACACAAAATTCTTTTGTTCAGGAAGAACCTCTAAGGCTAGAGGATTTGATCTGAGGAGCTTTAGATTGCTTGTTCAAAAGATTAACAATGTGAGTCTATGCCCTTTTTATGTCTTACACTTTTTTCCTGAGGTGTCCTAGCTCTGCCACCAGGTAGTCCTGTGACAGGGTGTGTTCAGGTGCCGAAGATACAGACATGTGCAAATCGAGGCCCTGCCTTCAACAGACATCCAGACATTGTCTGGTGAGGGAAACAGAGAAATACACAAGTGATGGTGTGATCATTAAGTCACTTCAGAAACACACTCAGGCATCACTGTGGCAGACCAGTTACTCTGTCATGTGTCAGGAACAGAGCAAGGAACATGGTACTACTTACATTCTACATAGGGGAGCAGCTAATGCACTGACGAGTGCGCCCAAGTATTATAATGGTGTGGTATGTGCCCAGGGTAAACTGACCGAGAGTAACAAGATCAGAGAAGGCTGATCATTGAGAAAGATGCAGATGTGAGGAGTCAGATTAGAAAAGGACATTCCAGACAAGTCAGAAAGCAAGAGCTTGGCTTGTTCCAGAGTAGGGAAGTGCGGGCAGGAGAGCAGTGTGGTGTGGTGTGGTGTGAGGCTGTGCAGGGTGACAGACCCTCCCCACTCCACTCCGTCAGCACTGCAGGAATTCATATTCCACTTCTGGACAGTGGAGGCCATGGCAGTGAGTCCGAAGCACCTGACAGGGTTCTATTACTGCTTTGCAAAGGTTCTTCAGCTACTTTATAGAGCACAGATCACTGGGGTCCTGGGATGGAGCAACCAACTGTCTACAGAACAGGTTGTAACCAATACAAGAAATGATGTGAGAGGCCGTTTACTTCAGCATTGAAACAGAAGGGATCTGGTCCTTGGAGTCAAGACCTCCTTGCCTAAGCTGGAGTTTGCCTGAAGAAATGGAGATATTGAAGGAAGAGAAGGGAAGGCAGGCCGAGGGAATACATGTGCAAGGCATCCACAATGGTGGATGACCAAAATAATTAGATCCCAAATCACACAGGGAAAGTAAAAGAGCTGTGTGTTTCAACCACGATTGAGATAAAAAGCTGTAAACAGGGCCCTAAATTAATACTGAGATTCCTGACAGCCAAGGCAAAAGCAGTTTTTGCCCTAGTACATGAGACCATAGGGAGGCCACTTATTCTCCAAGCCTTAGGAGAGGACCCAGAGTATGCTTTATCAGTTTTATCTCTAATCCCCAAAGAATTGGCTCTAGTTTCACTCAAATACCATTATTTATGTGGGTCCCCAAAGCAAAAGTGGATACCCACTCCTTCCTGCCTCAGCACCAAACCCAGGTAGCCTCCTTACATTGGTGATACCTGCCTCAGGTTCAATGTGATTCACTGACCCCATGTAAAATTCTCTTATGGAAAGTCTTCATTCCCTGGGAACCTCCAGTCATCTCCTACACTTGAATATTGCTGTGAGGGTCACCTCTGAGGCCGTGGAGTGTGCCAGGAGGCTAGTGAGAATGGACCAGTGTCATTTCATACATTATGGTAGGTGCCCTTCTGTCCTTCAGGGTCAGATCGGTATCTGGAGAGCCGAGATGCCCCTCGCCTGAGTGGCCGGGACCCTTCTTCATGGACAGTGGAGGATGTGATGCAGTTTGTCCGGGAAGCAGATCCTCAGCTCGGACCCCATGCTGACCTCTTCCGAAAACATGTAGGTACTTCTGCCTGACCTCCTGTGTGTATGGCAACCTCTCGATCTTAGAGGGTGTGGCTGTCTGTTCGATGTCCATCGAAACAACATAAATGATGCCGTCTCAAGAAGACCTCACTGGGTACTATGTTTACCTCACTCTCTTAGCATAGGCTCTCATTGAGCCAGATTCCCCCTGGGTTTGTGGTTTGGGGCTCAGTTCTAGGTTACAGGGATCTATATATCTCTTTTCCCAAGGATGCTTTACCCTATCTGCTTTGGTGGGAGATTCAAGGCTTTCAGCCCAAGTTCAAGAATCCTTTGCAAGTAGCCCTGCCTCCCTCTTACTAGTCCCCCTCCTCGGCTGACCTGTCCGTGAGCTCCATGTTCCCTTCACAAGACCATTTGGTTTCATGGCTAGGCACTGCTCTGGCCCTCCTGCTCTGATCGCACCCCAGCTTTGGGGCTCAAACCCTTTTCCTACCTGTGCTGCTTGGTGCCATCCTTCCATGGTTACAAAGTCTGCCCCTCTCACTGACCACAGAAATCTTTCAGGTAGGTGGGTTTGCAAGGGCTCCAGAGCAGGCCGAAAGGTCACCACTGCCCCAAGAGGCCTATTGTGGGCTCAGAGCACAGTCCATCTTGAGGGTAGGTGTCCATACAGCCTGCACAGGTGCACTCACTGCAAGGCTTCGCAGAGGCTTGGGACAGGAAAGCGGCATAGAAGAGCAAGGTGGGAGGGGCATGTCCCATAGTGCCTGCCTGGAGAGAAGTGCTCAGAGTGCCAGGGAGAAGAGCTTCCAGATCCCAGCAGCCTGACTGACTGCACTGTGTGCCTCGCACTGCTCTGGGTAGTCTTTGATTGGCACCTGAGGCAGTCAGGCCAACCAGGCATCTGATGGTGGCTCCTCCCCATCCCCAGGAGATCGATGGCAAGGCCCTGCTCCTGCTGCGCAGTGACATGATGATGAAGTATATGGGCCTGAAGCTGGGGCCCGCCCTCAAGCTCTCCTTTCACATTGACCGGCTGAAGCAGGGAAAATTCTGAACAGGAGGCATTCTTCTTTCCGGAAGCCACCAGCCACCTCCCAGGCACCTCCATAGGGCTCTGGGTGACCTCAGGACTCCAGGAGGCTGGAGGACCACCACTGCTGCCCCTCCTGCCATCTGTGTCCTTCCGTGAAGGACCAAGGAGGGAAGAATGTGGGCCCAGGGCTGGTGCTGCTCTTCCCCTTAGCCTGCTGGGGCTCCCAGGCCCTTCTATTTATTTCTCAAGGCTAGCCAAGCCTCTCACCAGAAGTTTAGACTGAGCACCTTGCAAAGAGATGGAGGAAGAGGCCAACTCCAGGGCCTTGAAAGGCCCTGGCACCCAGGCCCCTAACCACCTCCTGGGCTTGGTATAGTGCCCATAGCCCCCAGCTCATGCCTTGTCACCAGATCCCCAAACTCAACTTGTGGTGCAGACCTTTTTTACAAAGATCCTTTCTTGTTGCTAATTTATTGCTTCTGGCACTTGGACTTAATGCTTTTCTTGCACCAGACATTTTTGGGAAGAAGGAGACCACCCTCTGTGGTCCAGAGAGGGCCTCTCCAGAGAAGTGTGGCCCTGTTTCAGAGGATGCTGCCCTAGGGCTCTTTCTCTCTGGGATGGACAGAGGAATATAGCTCACTGGACATGGAAAGGTTAGGGTCCCTCCCTCTTCCCACACCAGGCCCTTTGTAGCCCCATTCTCTATCTCTGATGGAGTTTTCCCCCCACCCCTGCCCCATCACAGCTCCCTGCCCTGGTCAGAATTGCTGCAAAAGATGGGGCCTAATGCCTTTAGGCCACGGGGGCCCCCATGGTGGGAGGGAGGACCTCCAGGCTGGGGGGTTTGCCCTCTGCTAGCTCCTGTGCTTCCTCCTCAGCAAGTCAGCAACACTGCTGCCCCCACTGCCATCTGAACTGTTTTATGTCCGTTTGTTTCTAAATAAAACCAATACAAAGGCTCCTCGGGTCTTTTTAACCAGTTGACATCCAAATTACTCAGCAAGAAGGTTGTTCCTTCACTTCGTCTTGGTTTTCCCACATGTAAAACAAGGAGCCTTAGCCAGATTATCCCTATCTTCTAGTCCCAGTCCAAAAGACTCGGCCGTTGTCCGAGTGCCCACAGCACCCACACCTTGCAGGCCCCAGCCTCTGCCCAGGTTGCTTCCCTTTGTCCGTTAGATGTTAGTTGTCAGCACTGTAGCTCCATCGAGCCAGAAGCATCTCAAGGGCTGGCAACTCCCAGAAGCCTCCTTGTGAGGCAAGAAGAGGCAGTACAGGCCTGCATGGTACTCACTGCACTGACCAAGGCCTGGCACCCAAGCCCAGGGCCACATAGCCTGTTGGCTTACAGTGGGAACTGGTTTACAGAAGGCGGAAAAGGCTGTCTGGAGCCACAGTGTAGGACAGGACAAGCTGAGACAACAGCCAGGGAGCACACTGAGCTTCAATGTTGCTGGTGACTGACTTAGAGCTATGGGACATCTGGGCCAGGCGTGGCTGCGGGGGTGAGCCATTTAGCACCTGCCCGGTCTTTGCAGAGCCTCGTTCAGCCACCCTGTGCGGCTGGCCTCTTCCCCGTCTGTACAACATTGTCTTATGTCCTCAAGTTCCCTGCCCAAGCTTCCGCCTCCAATCCTACATGCAACAAAAGTTCAGGCATGCCTTCAAAATGGCTGCCCACAGGAAGGCAAACAGCTGCTTCATTGAAGGTCTCCGCCTTGTTCCCAGTAATCAGGGCTACTAGGAGTGGGGAAATGTGTAGTGAAATTTACCTGGGAGCCTACAAGATGACTCAGTTGGTAAAGGTGTTCCTGTGCAAGCCTGGAGACCTGTGTTTGGTCCCCAAAACTCACAGGAAGGAGAAAACCAGCTCCAGAGTTGTCCTCTGACCTCCACATGTGTGCCAGGATACATGTGCTCTCTCCTCCCACATCACACATATAGTAATAAATCAGTTTTTTAATACTAATAAAAGGTACTTGGGGCTGGAGAGATGGCTCTAACAGTTAAGAGCACTGGCTGCTCTTCCAGAGGATCCAGGTTCAATTCCCAGCACCCATATAGGAACTCACAACTGTCTGTAACTCCAGTTCCATGGGATCTGACATTTTCATACAGACATAAACGCAAGCCAAACACCAATGCACATAAAATAAAAATAATTTTGCCAGGTAGTGATGGCGCATGCCACTTGGGAGGCAGAAGCAGGAGGATCTCTTAAGTTTGAGGCCAGCCTGGTCTATAGAGCAAGTTCCAGGACAGCCAGGGCTATACTGAGAAACCCTGTCTTGAAAAACAACAACAAAAGAATATCTTTACCTTATCTAAGCTAAGCCCTGCCCCCAAGGAACTGGCCTCAGTGGTAGAGGTTCCATGTTACCCAAGCCTACCTGATTTTCAGGCCTGTCTGTGTTTGGTACAGAAAAGGGTCTTGTATCAAGGGAACCCTGGACTCCATCCTGTACATTTTGGTTCATCCTGGGAGCAGGTAGGTCCTGTCAGCGCTCAGTGGAGCTTGGGGTTGGGGACCAAGGAGGTGGAGACTTTAGACATCAAAGCCAAAACATTGGCAACTAGTGGCTTGTGTGAGTGCTGGGGTCTGGAGAGGTGATGTAGAGGGAAGAAGCGGCTTTGGGCCCTCAATTCTAGAAGCTGCTCCAAGGGTCACCATGGCCAAGCTGTGGCAGCTGAGCAGCTGTGTCTGCTTACACTGTCTAGCCAAGACTATGGTTGTTGAGGACCATCCTTGCTTGACATCCCCCAACCCTGCTTGCTACCTGTGGCTGAACTAACCAGAAGGCATTGTTGGCCTTCATGAGATCACAGAGGCCAGTGAGCAGGCCCCACCCACTTCTAGACCTAGACCCTGGTCTCTGCCTCCATGCCAAGTCCTAAGTCTCCTGGGCCAGGGAGCTGTGGGAGCTCAGGGCTAGCACCTCCCATGGCCCCGCAGGAGCCAGCAGGACATGAAGATCATAGGCCTCCTCTTTCCTCCTCTTCCTGCTTGCCCTGAATGCCCCCACTGCAGCTGGGGTGGTTCTCAGACTCTGACCACCTCAAGAATCCAATCTGGAAAGATGCGGGCTGGTGGTACCTGCCACCCAAGTTGGAGGCTGGGGGTGTGGGGGTGAGTAGAGGGTCTGTGGCACAGCTTGTAAATGAGCTCCCAAGCCTAGGGTGACATGCAAGCTCAGTTCTAGTTCCTGTGGCACCTCAAGTTGGGTTGTTGGTTTTTTTTTTGGGGGGGGGGGAATGGGTTTCAAGACAGGATCTCTCTGTGTAGTCTGGCAGCCCTGGAACTTGCTTTGTAGACCAGGCTGGCCTCGAACTCACAGAGATCCGCCTGCCTTTGCCTCCCAAGCTGGGATTAAATGTGTGTGCTATCACCGCCTGGCTTCAAGTTTTATGTATATATGCAAAGGCCTTTTGTATGGGGAGGGACTGTGGCCGTTGTCAGTGTGTCAAAACCCCAAGAACCTGCCAACCCAATCCTAAATAGTTCCAATGACCCATACTAGCCTCTTGGCAGATTTTAGAATCAAGTAGTAGAGACAGTTTTGGGGCCACTGACCAGCCCTGAGAGTTTAGAACTATGGCCTCTTCTCTGAGGCCCACTATAACCATCTTTAGGGCTTGGAGACTTTAAGAACCTTCTAGATGTGAAGAAACCCAGCAACAGCTAGGAGGTCCTGGACGTAGACTGAGGAATCAAGATAGAGAAGGTACCTGCGGGTATGGAGGACTCAAAGATCCCTCCTAACCCTTCAGGCAAATCCCTTATCTACCCACAAGCCCAGAGGCAGGACTCGGGCCCATCTGGTTCTTTCCTAGGCACCAAGGGGGGTCACTGGCCCTCTGCCCTCCTTTCTTTCTGACCCTGCCTAGCCTCTGCCAGTCCAGAAGCTTCCAGAAGCCTCAGTACCTGTGAGTCCATTGGGAAGCCCTGGCCAGTCTGAAAGCCAGGCCCAGGAAGAGCATTCAGCAGTGAGGACTACCAAAATCCCTCCTCAGGAAGACGGCCATCACCCTCAGGAGGAGGTCAGCACAGACACAGATGTGGGAGCCCCCTGTGGAGTCGCAGGGCCAGCAGCTCCTGCCAGAGCTGCCTCTAAAAGAGTCCTCGCCCAAGGACTCTGGCCTCAAGGCAGTTCCCAGCACACGTACTCTTTATGTGGGCCACCTGAATCCCCAGTTCTCTGTGCCCGTGCTTGCCTGCCTGCTACGAGACACCCTAGAGCGGCTGGAGCTGCCAGTGTCCCGTGAGAACATTGAGGTAGTGAGGCGGCCACGAAACACTTACGCACGGGTACAGGTGGCTGCCCCCAAGGCTGCCCTGGCCTCCCTCCCCTGGCGCCTGCAGATGGCCTTGGAGGAGCAGCTAATCCTCAAAGAGCTCACAGCCCGCGGCAAGGAGCTGGTGCTGGGTGAGGGACTGGAGTCCCTAAACCGCAGAGAGGTAAGTGAGCTGAGTTGGGAACAGCAGGAGGAACCGCACACCCTGGGGATGTGACTCAAATGACTGCCCCTCTTCTCAGAGGGAGACTAATTTTTGCATTCCAGTCAGGTTTGGGAGGTCCGGGACATACCAAGTCCTGGGTTTCTCCTTGGCCCACCTCACTGTTCCCTTGACAAACACCAGTACCTACATTGTACCAGAAGCAAGGCTGAGGCAGGCAACCTATGCCCTGTCCTGGTCAAACCCTCCAGGAGCAGAACCAACTCTGCCAGTCCCAAAGTTGGGGTGGCTGTGGGAGAACAGGCAAGCCCTCACTACCCACTGGGGACAAATTTACAGGGGACCGGAAATCCAGGCTTGGGACTTAGGGAGCGCAGAAGGCACTCCAAGATGTTCAGGTAGTGAGGTAGGACAGGCTGTTTGGTATCTCCGGAGCTGAGGCTGGAGGCCACAGGGGCAGCTGAGGAAGAAGCTGGGCTGGAGGGTAGGTCCAGATCACTACAGCTGTGATGATCTACAGCAAAGCAGGGTCCGGGCCAGTTTTGTTGGGGTGAAAACTTACACTACCAATGTCCTTGGTCTTCTGTCCAGAGGGCAGACCCATGGGGCCTGACCTGTGGATCTACAGCTCTGATACTTGATGCATGTGCGCCTGCTTTTGTGTGTCTATTAGTTTCAGTTCTGTTAGTTTCTGAGTTCATCTTCTTTGGGGAGCTGCTGGGCTGCTAGGTCCTGTCCATCTCCACACACCAGCCCAGCTGAGTGTCCAGCCCTGTAGAAGTGAAGGCTGCTGGGAATTGGGAGTGGCCACTGGGTTGGCATTTAGAGCTACTGAGAGGATGGGAAGAGGAAGCTGATGGGATGTCAACACGCTAAGGAAGTTACCATGCAGAAACAAAATGCCCAAAACACTAGAGACAAAGCAGGAGCCACAGAGGGACTCAAGAAGGGCAGAAGAAAGCTAAGATTCAAGGGACTTTTCATTGGCCAGGAAGTAGCTGGCAGTTATACCAGGGACAACAAAGAGCAGGGTCCCTCAGTTTAGGGACCTGCAGCTCGGCCCAGAGAACTGCAGGATACAAAGATGCCTCCTGGGAACATCTGGGCCTGGGACCTCTTACACACCCCAAGTCGGGAAAGACTGGCCCACAGGTATACTGGCTCCCAGCTCCAAAGGGGCGATCTCTACCCACCCAAGCATCCTACAACAGGTGCCAAGGAAGAGCCCAACTCAAGAGCTGGCTTGGGCCCTTGAGCCAGCACTGGCTTTTGCACACGTGCAGAATTGTGCCCTCACTCTGGGAGACCACCACTGGCAGCAGTGTGGTGGGGGTCTGGCTGGCAGTCTCTTAGGTTAGGACCTCTGCCTTCTGCCTTTGCCTATATACCCACTCTTGACCCCCCACCCCAGCAGGAGGACAGCGGCTCAAGCCCCAGCCCCAGCCCTGGACCCAGTCCAGGCTTCAGGCGCCCACAGCTGTGCCAACTGCCAGACCCTTCCCCTAACTGGTGCTGGGCTGGGCGACGGCAGATCCCTCAGAACCGACCCAGTGGTGTGCGCTCTGACAGTGCCATTGTGGACCAGGAGATCTTGGGCCAGGAGCAGCTATTCCAGGGTGCCTTCCTTGGCAGCGAGACACGGAATGTGGAGTTTAAGCGAGGCAGCGGTGAGTACCTGAGCCTGGCTTTCAAGCACCACGTACGGCGCTACGTGTGTGCCTTTCTCAACAGTGAGGGTGGCAGCCTGCTGGTAGGTGTGGAGGACAGTGGCCTGGTACAGGGCATCCACTGCAGCCACCGTGATGAGGACCGTACACGCCAGCTGGTAGACTCCATCCTGCAGGGCTTCAAACCCCAGGTCTTCCCTGACGCCTACTCTCTCACCTTCATCCCCGTCATAAGCACTTGCACGGCCAACACGCCTCTCAAGGTGAGCTCCCGGTATATGTCGTCACTCAGGACAGTGGGACTTTGCTGACATTGCTGAGCAGCACAGGGGTGGGTAGCACAAGCAGGAGCCCACCACGCTGCTTCTGGGAGCTAAAGTGTGGGGCTACTCAATGGAACTGGGGCTGCCACCATCAAGTGCGGCACCTCTGAGCTGCTGTTGCCCCTGCTAAGGTACTCCGTCTGACCGTGCACACCCCCAAGGCCCAGGGTGAGCCACAGCTGTATGAGACAGACCAGGGGGAGGTATTTCTACGGCGTGATGGAAGCATCCAGGGCCCACTGTCTGTTGGCGCCATCCAGGACTGGTGCAGGCAGGTGAGGCAGCTCCCGCCAAGGTGGGCTAAGGCCAAGCTGACTCAGACCCCTACAGCCATGTACCCACAAGCACTGGGCACGCCTGGGGAAGGGAGGGCTTGGATGAAAGGAACTCTGCCTCCTCCCAAATTCCCAGCAGTCATTTTAAAACCTGTGTCCCATTCCACAGCACACAGCCCCACCCACCCTGCCTCGGCATCAGTCATTATGTTGTTGAAGGGCCAGGGGATCAGGGAGACTGGACTACTGAGGTGCTAAGGAAACTACAAGTGCTGTGCACTGTACCGGGGTAGAGCCTGGTGAGGGGCAGGGGAGGGCTGCACTGAGTCCCAAGATGAAGTCTTTCTATGAGGGAACCACCCGATGGTAGAAAAGCAGAGGACAAGGAAGGGAGCGGACACTGGAGTCGTGGTCAGGTGGTGATCAATGGCCTGTGCCAGCCCTTGGGAGGCTGCAGAGGGGGCTCCATCCCAGTGGGCGGTATACGGGCAACTTCAAGACCCTTGGTCAGAGGCGGCAGCATAGCCAGGACCCCAGGCTATGGCCCACCCCAGGAAGGAGGAAGGCACCCCTGGGACAATGGCAGCCTGATTATCTACTGCCACACTGTCCTCAGAAGTGGACAACGGAGCTGGGCAAGCTGGAGGAGAAGGTGAAGACCCTGACGATGGAAAAGGAGCAGCTGAGGCAGCAGCTGAGGCAGCGCCGGTCCCTGTCCTGCAGCTGCTGTGTCCTGTGAGGATGAGGAAGATGTAGGCTAAGGCCTGGAATAAAACACACATGAGCTGCCTTCCCTCTCCCTCAGCGCTGCACATGCAGGAGCCATGTGGCTTCACCTCAGAGCAGGCTGACAGTCAGCTCCTGGCACACCCCCAAGCAACCCTGCTTTCAGAAAACTTGGCTAGTCACTCCAGAACTCAGCTAAGAGACTGTAACTCTAATCCCAACTAAATGCACCTTTTGCCTAAGCCAATTCTAGTGGGCTGGGAATATCAACTTGGAAAGGCCGTTTGCAGCTAGCAAGACCTATGTGGTAACTAGTTACAGGGCTTGGGCCACCCTGCAGCTCTCCCCCTAACTTGTCATTGTGCCTTATACACTGCATGCACAGCAATGCTTAGTTACTTCTACATTGGTCAGCCAGCCAGAGGCGGCTACGTCACAAGTCTCATGCCCACAAAGATACCACCGCACTGCAGCCACTCAGCACCCACTGCGGCTCTGCCCTAAGACTCAGCACTTGGGGCAACAGTGCCTACCTCTGCCTCAGCCCTGTCACCTGCGAGATGGTGACAGTGGGCAAGGGGCATTTGGTCACACTCATGTAGTATCTGGTATCTGCTGGCCATGGCAGACCAGCCATTCACAGGAGTCTAGCCAGTTATTGCCTCTCCACTAACTGGCACTAAGGCTAGAGCTGGATCCTGCCCCACCTGCCCTGTCCACACCCATTTCACCACAAGAACCTGCTAGCTGCTCCTGCTGCCCCTTACAGCAGCCATGCATGCTACAGCAACCATCCCACTCCACATCTACACTGGGTGCTCCCCTGCCTAGAACCCTCTTCTCTCCGAGCTGCAGGACTTAGCTCCCCCTCCAGGCTTGCCTGGGACTTGTGGCACCCCTCCTTCAACATTCCCCACTCCTGCCACTGCCGAGGTGCTGGGAACTCTGACAGGAGCAACTGTCCAGTACAGCTTCCTTTGTTCCCTCTCCATGGCCATGTCATAGTTTCTCCACCAGTGCACATGCTGCAGGTCCGGGATATGGTACTTCCCCAATGAGACAATCAAGGATACTCTTCAATTTGGGCTCTAGGCTAGCAGATAACCATGGTGTACTGACAGATAGCCCTTGTCCCCTAGGTCTGCACACTAAGCACACAGAAGAAGCCTGCCAGGTTCCCTCCTGCTAAGAAGCCTCTGAGCACTGGTCGTCATTGGATGCAGTGGGCTCCCTTCCAGCACCATCCATGGCAAACTCTGGGCTATGTGGGGATTCCTTTTGCTGACAGGTCATACAGGTAGCTGGCATGTGGCAGCTGGTGAATAATGAGGCCATCTTCATCAGGAAAGAAACACTAGGGATGGCTCTTCCAAACCACCCCATACCCAGCCAGGCCTCACTGTTGTGGCAGCAGCTTGGGGAATAATGAGACCACTGGGTGGGAAGGGAGGTTAGAAGTAGAATCAGCCACAGCCAGACAGGATCTATACAGAAGTGACCATGTGAGCTCACTGAGAAATGAGGGAAAGACAGGAATCTGAGGTGGGAGCTGGGCTAACTGGTGGGACACATATTCCTCCCCAAGGCTCCATGTCTCAACTTGTAGCAAGTGAAGGATGTTACCACCTATACACTGCCAGGCCTGCAGCCTGAGTGAATGCTAATGTCACCATCACCCCACAACTGACTTTGGAAAGTTCCCTGTCCCTGTGACCTTGAACTTCTGAGCCTCAATTCTAGAAGTCAAGAATGAGTGCAGAGTGGGAGAGAAAGCAGACCAGCTGGTTAAGACAGCCCATGGTCAGCTGTCTGGCGCCATGTGTGAAGTGCCCTGTCTGCAGGGGGCAAAGGACCCTGTCCAGGCATCCCATGGTTGTTCTTTTCCCCTGCCAAGTAGCACACAGCGTAATTGGCTTTCATGGCAAACTGAAGTCTTGCTGAGAAATCCTGGTTGCTACTAAGGCTTGCATCTCAATGTGATATAAAGCATCAGACTGTGTCCATCACCCCAACCAGTGACAGAATGAGAAAGCACACCAATGGTTCTGCATTATTTATTAAGTTAGGAGTATATACTGAGCCAGCCACCATAGTGTGGGCACATGGTCATGCCCATTGCTATGTCACATTAAGAAAATATCTTTTCGAGTTGCATTTCACCTGCATTAACACTATTTTGGAAGGAAAAAATACCCTCAAATCAATGCTGCATACACGAGAGGGCGTCAGAATTAGTTTCCAAGATTCCTTTTTTCTTGACCCCTTGATGCAAGGAGTGTTCTCAGCCCCAAGAATAGGAAGTGCAGCCAGAGCCCCAGGGTTTCTATGTGACACTTCATAGACAGAGCTTGTCTGATGTACCGAAGAACCAAACATCCCTCCGGATGGCCAGGGCCAACCACAGCTGGAACCAAGTCCCCAGAACTCGGCAGCACTGAGATTCCAGCAGCATCCACAGTAGCAGCCCAGCACTGGGAATGCTGGCAGCCCAGGGAAGTAACAGCACTTGAATGACAGTGACTCAAGTGGTCGGAAAAACAAGGTGGTTGATGGCCTTCCACCAGCCGCCGGCCACCATCAGGTCCCATCCAGAGTCCTACTCCCCGTGTCAGAAACACAAACTGTAAAGGAATTATCGCAGGATCCAATATAAATGATGGGACATGCAAGTGACAAAGTTTTCCAAAAACCTTTCCCCCATAATAAAATAATCTTAATAAAAACATAATTTAAAGGAAGTGTCAAAAGCAGAGTGTAAAATCATAGTTGTAAACTATCGGGTCAAAGGCTTTCTTGAAGAATCATCCTGTTTCAAAAAAAAAAAAGAGGCTAAAATTACAAGATATTTATTAGAGAAGCGTCAAAACGAGGTCAGCTGCCAGCCACCACAGGAAGTGAGGCCTGTTCCTGGGAAGGACGGCAGAAGCCTACATTTGCAATCCAGACCCACACACCATCCAGGCCTTGCAGCTCCTGTGCCGTGCTCAGCCAGATGTAAGCACTCTGTCCACAGCAGCAGCCTACTCCATGACTAACAGATGCCTGCGTGCAGGGAGGATGGGTGTGTGCACCTGTGCACGTGCTGCTGTGTGGAGGACATGGGCTGACAGGCATCCTCCTGCCACTCTCCAGCTCACCGACACAGCCAGGCTGGCTGGCCAGTGAGCAGCTAGGAACAGTCTGTGTTGCTGTGGGATGGTCTATGTCAAGTGTGTTGCCGATTGGTCAATAAATAAATCACTGATTGGCCAGTGGCCAGGCAGGAAGTATAGGCGGGACAAGGAGGAGAATAAAGCTGGGAAGTGGAAGGCTGAGTCAGAGAGACACTGCCAGCCGCTGCCAGGACAAGCAGCATGTGAAGATGCCAGTAAGCCATGAGCCACGTGGCAAGGTATAGATTTATAGAAATGGATTAATTGAAGCTGTAAGAAAAGTTGCAAGAAGCCTGCCATGGCCATACAGTTTGTAACCAATATAAGTCTCTGTGTTTACTTGGTTGGGTCTGAGCGGCTGTGGGACTGGCAGGTGAGAGAGATTTGCCCTGACTGTGGGCCAGGCAGGAAAACTCTAGCTACACTGTGTTCCCACTTTTTCTTTTTTTACTAAACCTTAAAAACGTCACTTACCAACACCATATCAGTCCTGACTTATTGATGGGAACTTCAGTTCAGTAATTTCAGAGTCAGGGGAGCTGCTCCCGCTTCTGTCACTGTAAGTGTCCCTGTGGAATTCACAAGGTTTACTCATCTCCCAGCAAGTACTCACTTCACGTCCCCTTCTTTGTAACCCCTGTACACAGCAGTGTGTGTCCCTACATGGCAACTATCTCTAAACATGTGAGGCATGGAGGGATTTCCTTCCTCTAGTTCCAAGAGATACACCCCCCACCCCTGAATACTTCAGTATTGATATACTAACCACCTACTGAGAGGAACCGATTTCAGATAAAAGAAGTCATCAGGCATAAGCCCACCTGGTGGTGACCCATTTGCCATGGATGGGATCTGCTCAGCAACATTACCAGAATCCAGAATCTATAGAGATGAGGCCTAGCCAGTAAGACAAGGAAGCCTAACAAAACCCCAGGGAAAGGATGGGAGTGTGTGGTCACCCACACGAGGACCAGGCCCTGCCATCGGGCTTTTTCTTAGGACTGTGTAGAGCCTCACTGTGATTAGTATCCCTACCTGGGTGAGAGGCGGCAACCTTTCTGCAGGTAGTGTGGGAGCCTCCCAACAGAGGCCAGGAGGAGGCCAAAGTAGGGTGGGGAAGGCTTGATAGGCCTGGACAGGAACTCAGGGTGATACTGCACCCCAACAAAGAATGGGTGATCTGCAATACAAATTCAGAAGGAACAATTAGTATTCTGTGCATCCAAAGATGAGACAAACCCTAAGAGTGTTCGAAAGTAACTCTATCACTTAATTGTAGATAAAAGGTACTCCAAGCAGGAGTGAGCTAACACTTTTCTCAACACTGTGTAGAGGCTCCTGCTCTCAGGTCCCATCTGAGTATCTTGTGACTTGCACAGGTTTTACCCCACAGTTCACATGAAAGCTGAAAGGGATTTAGCACCAAGTCCAGCTCTTCATGCTGGGGGAGGAACTGAGCCCAGGGCTCTATGGCTGCTGTGGAAGCTAAACCTAGGGATGTCAGAAGCTCCTCCCCAGACACTGCTGCCTCCTCGTCCCAGGTCAGGAACAAGGGCTCTTTTTTTCCTGAGACAAGGTCTGGTTCTAGCCCTGGCCAGCCTGGAACTCACTATCCTCCTCCTTCAGCTCTCCAAGTGGTGGACACACCTGGGTAACACGTTTTTCTATTTTCCCACACACCAAGGCATTATCACTACCCAAACAGTTACCTTCCAACTCCACAATCTCCATCCTCTCGCCTTCAACATCTTGGCCAACAAACTTCAAGCCTTGCTCTTCCAAGCACTTTTTCAAGACTGGATTCACCTGGTGGGGCAGGAAAACTCATTGTGCTGGCCTCTCCATTCCCTCCTTTGCAGAGTATCAGAAGGAGCAGGCTCACATCCTCACCTCAAATCGGTGGCGGTGCCTCTCTTCCAAGTAGTCTGTGTCTCCATAGAGTTTCCCTGCAGAAAACCAGGCAATTTGTGTGATTTCTGCCTCCACAATCAAATCTATGCAAACTGCTAACTTCCCAATTCACTCTTTATCTTTAACCACACTACCAAAATTCTGCTAGCCACGCTCACCTGTTCTTGATATAATTCGGACAAATTATTCCTGGGGCTCTCTCTCTGCCCAAACCAAATACAATTAACAGGAACAAACTTTCACGACCTCTTTTGAACACACCACTGCTAAATGCCAAAGCACTGTGCTGCTGGGAACCACCATAGGGACAGGATAGGCCCTCCTAGAAAGCCAGCTCCCTGAGAACAGTGTCTGGAAGGGAAGGAACTGAAAAGCTAGTGGGTACCTGGTGCCTGTGGATAAACAGGCACAGTGTGTGCAAATGGGATGCTTACTGACTCACTCCTCACTGCCTCCTGAGACCCCCACGCCCACAGAACAGCACAGCTCGAAGAACTTGAAAACGGCACAAGTGATTCTCAAACGAGTCTGCCACTGGAACCCCCAAGACATAGGGTACCTCTACCAATGGTTAAAGCAATGTTTCCACTGGGCAAGGCAATGTCTAATAGAGTAATTTTCTTAGATATTTTCCTCCTCCAAATCCCCTAAGCTTTTAACCATGATCATTATCTGTTAGAATAAAATGTATTTAGATTAAACTAAGTAAAAATGTGATTTTTTTTCCTTTAACCACCAAATTCCAGTTTTATTTACCAGTATAAGAAAGTAATCACAGATTGCAATGGATTTAATCTAATGGCCTGCCTTGTTGAGGTGCCCATATCCAAGGGCCCAGGAGCATTATCGGAGACTGTCTAACTAACACAGTACATCCTAAACAAGCATGAGGAGGAGGAAGAAAGAATTGCAAAACCTGGAACAAAGCCAAGAAAAGGTTGGCCTGGCTCTTTGGAGCTAGCTACAGCACCACCTAACCCATGTTAGACCAGGACAAAAGCCAGACTCATGTAAAACAACTTACTCATGACTGAGTTCTTGGTCTGGAACAGGGTTCTCCTCTTGCCCAGCCTCATGGTTCCACCCATCTGCCCGGGGTTATGTTCTGGCATGTCTATGACCTAGAGACGTTCAGAAAACAAATCTGACTGCCACACTCGGCTGCTGTTAAGTCAGACCTCCTCCCCAAGTAGAGCACTCCTGGGTAGGAGGAGTTCAGTGCTTCACCCTGCCTCATGATGCTGTCCCCTGCCCTAGCACCTGGGATGCCAAAGGCCCTGTGCTGTGGCACAGCAATATGGACACAAGACTAACCAGTCAGACACAGCTGTCTTCTGGGCCTGAGAAAAGGGTACAAGACCAACAGTCACTAACAAGTCTATGTACAGGTAGACTGTGGCACCCCAGAGGGGCATGCCTGAGTACCTTATAAACCCCTTCAGGCTTCTCTATGCTCCATTCCCTCATCCCATTGTTCTTACATTAACAAAACTTCAACTTCAACAAATAAGCAGATGCTATGTCACTGAGATCAAAAACTTGTCTACCTTGTCACCATGTTCTCAGTGACAAAACAGTCCCTCACATACAGCCAATGCTCAGCATTTGCTGAATACTGAAAAAGAAAATGCTTAAGTATGCCTGCCACTCATGGGCTAGGGATTCAAAGACAAAGACTGCCCCTCTCCAGTGAGCCTTAGTAGCATCACAGGTTGACTAGGCCACATGCCCCTAGGCAACTGACAACAGCAGGATTGTAGCCTGAAAAAGCTTCACTTGCCACTAAAGAAATCACCACCCCTGAGCTTGTCAACCCTGAGCCTATCTACCTTCGAGGACTGGCACTGGAGAGA